ATGGTTTCATAAAGCATGGAATATTATATGTAAGTGGACAGATTTTTGCATTGGAATCATAATGATAAAGTCTTTATAAAATACATTTGACAAGAATTATAAAAAATGCAATTGTTGTATGATTGTTGTTATTATAATTTACATGCATACAATAATTAAAAAAGCTGAATATTGACTAAGTATTAACACTAGCAGATATGCAGCACTGTGCATATTTGCTATTATTCATATATTTTATTTTCATTTTTTATTTTAGCTTTCCAAATATATCATTTTTTAAAATGTATGAAACATAATTCACTGATGATATCAGTGAATTTAAAATTAAAAATTATTCATAAGCCATTTAATTTGCCATCCTAAATACATATTTGAATATAATAGATCAAAATTTATATAATTTTAGATTTTGATTATCTCTAAGTTATATTATTATTCAAATTGCATTTGGAGAAAATAATTTCAATGAAATGATCAATATATTTGTAAAGAGTATTAACGTTAAAAGATTAAGTGATGCTTTAGATATATGCAAAATAATACAGATATTACATAACACTTGGCAGTAAAAATTCTACATTTTCTGCAATGTGCCCAGTTGCATAGTTGGACCTAATTAAATAAATAATTATATTAAAACTAACAGAAGTGAAACATAGAAAAATAAAAGTGAATTAAGATACAAATTTCTCAAATTAATTTAACAAGCATTCAAGTAGAAAAATTTATCTATACTAATATTATAAAGAGGTAATGTTTGTAAGTAAGTTTGGATGTAGCAGGTAATCTCCAAAACTACTCATCCGATTTCAAAAATTCTTTCACCAATATTTAGAATGGAACTTCAGGGTGGACATAAGCTGTATATTATTCCATAAATATTCATAAAAATTAAAACATATCATCTAGGGCTAAGGCATTTATGTCCAACAGATGGCGCTATGAGTATGTCACCCTGTTTGTTTTTCTGTGAGGATAAACTAAAGCAGATCATCATCTATCTATCTATATAAATAAAAATGTAATGTTCATTTGTTCCTACCAATTCCTTTGAAATTTTGACACAATTCTGCATTCAAATGTGCACGTGTTTTTATATAATATACATGTCGAAATTTCCCGCACTGGGGGGGGAGATGGACAGGATTAAGGCTTACAGTAAAGAACTCTGCTTCTATTTATACTATTTTAGATGCGGTTTTTTGCGTTTTTGATTGCGTTTTAAATTAATTAATTAATAGGGTACGTCAAGAGAATATACACTAAGAAGGGATTTTTTGAAAAATCCCCCCGGGGAAAGTGTTATACATTTATAATAGATACATTTTGAGCCACAACAACGTGTGGCGGGGTCTGCTAGTACTAAATAATTAGGTTTGTTTTTATTTCTATAATTTGTGTAAGATAAAGTACAAAGCCACTATATATTGTAAGTTCTAGGTGTATCCCTGCACCATAATGTCAGCTTTATAACATGAAGTTAAACTTGATCGGATCACAGATGGATTCTTATATTCAATTGCATGCTGTGCAAATGATTGAATTTCAAAAATCTAAATTGATATGATCATCATCATGGCAATAATCTGACAGATAATAAGCCAACAATTGAAGGATTCAGGTATAAAAGATGGTAAACTCTATACTGAAAATTTAGAGAAAATACAAAATTAAACATCTTAAGAAATTTCCTGCTTTGTGTTCTTTAATCAGAATAAAATGCATTTTATACTTAAAAGTAGATATAATATTTAAATTGAAATACATTACTGTTCGTTATTAACATACATTATAATACTAATAGAAATGACAATCTTTTACATCAAAATCCTTCAATTCTTTTTACATGAATTTGAAATATAATGATAATGAACAAAATATTGTTTACAACAACATAATGCAGAAAAAATTATGATAATTTCAACAATATACAGGGTGGGCACAAAATTCTATCACCCCTATAGAAAATTAAAATTAATATGTTCCAGATAACGGAATACGAATAATGACTGATACAATTATAGCATTGAAGAACATTTAATTGCTAGTTGTTGGGTTTACAAAAAAGTAAGAACAAGGAAAAGAATGGAAGAAGTGTGTCTTCATTGTGACTTCCAGCAACTATTTAGACAACAGCCTCTTCCAAGAAGAACACTTCTCTGATGGGAGCATTAGACTTTTACAGCAGTGGCATACACAGAGGTGGGCCAAGAGACCTTGGCACTTTCCAAAGAGAAAGGAAAGAAACACTAAAAAATTTTCCAACAATTTTTTCCTAATTAATATTTTTTTTTTTTTTATATTGTGTTGTGTCTTCTATTTCTATACTATTAAAACTTACAAATTAGCAGTCAAAGTGAGAATTTTATTCAATTCACAAGTTTTTATTCATTTAACTTGGCTCCCCTAAGATTAAATCCTGAGTGCACCACTGAAGTTGCACATTGTTGTTTGAGTTATGAACTTGCTCATGAAATTAATGCAGAAACATTAATTTCATGTTTTGCAAATGTTTCTGCATTAATTTCATGAGCACAATCTCACAAGGAAACCTTACGATGTGTCCATCAGAGTTCTGAATAATAATGTGTATGTGGATAAGTCTCAATATGAACCTTTATTAAGCAAAAGGAGAAAAAGTGCAATTCTCAAGCATTTTTGAGAAAATTGACATTAAGAAATCATCAATGACTTATAAGCAGTAGCGTAGCGAGGGGGGTACAAGGGGGTGTACCATGCACTGAGCGTCACTCACAGAGGGGCGCCCAAATGGTCTCCAAGACAAACTATATGTGTTTCTAGAAGGGGAAGGGGGCGCCAATAAAGTGTCAGGCCCTGGGCGCCAGTTATGTTTGCTACGCCACTGCTTATAAGCAAGTTTTATGAACTTTGTTTACTGAATGTCAATTTTCTCAAAAACACTTGAGAAGTGCACTTTCTACTTTTGCTGCATTTTTCACAACTGGTGGAGGCTCTGCCACTTCTTTGATAATTATTATTCTGTTACCTATTGTAAAAATCTTATGCATCTTATGAAGAGACTCTGCCAAAAAGATACTGTATCTTTTTGGCAGAGTCTCTTCATCCAAATTTCTGCTGAAAGTCTGCACACATCTCTTCCATTGTTTCCCTGTTCTTTTCCTTTCATAAGCTCAACAATTAGCAATTGTATGTTCTTCAGTGATGTCAGTTACTTGTATCAGCCATTAATCAAGTTCTTTTATGTGAAACAAACAACAAATGGAACATAGAATTAATTTTCTATAAGGATGACAGATCTTTATTCCTATCCTGTATATACTATATTTCAATGAAGATACACTCAAAGCAACACATAGACTTTTGTTCTTTTTCGTGTGCAGAATATAATGAGAAAAATTATTTGGAAGGAAAGCTAATTTATATTATGCCCTGTCTCATAAAGGTGTCACTAACTTACTGAAGAATTAATATTACAAACATACCAGTGATCAAAGCATGATGACATGCATAAAAACTAGGATTTCTCATTTCCCAGTCCTTTGCTTGTCCTGAGATTGAAAAACAAGTGATCTGTTTCCCAGGATATAATTAATTATTTTTTTAAGATATAAAATAAATCTTGAAATCAAATGATATAATTATTTTTCATTTTTTTAAGTAATTTAATACATCCTGCAACCTCCAAAATAATAATATTACAAGGATAATCCCAAAAGTAAGGTCTCCAAAGTGCTGGGGACGCAGGGAAACTGTTCGTGCGGCTGTTGGAAACACTGCTGTGTTTATTGTTTCCCACTCCCAAACACACCTGCACACATCTCACTGGGATGCTCGGTCTAGGTTTGGCAGCTGTTTGGAATGGAGCTCCCACTTGGCACTACCACCAAGTGCAAAGTTTGCACAGTTATTTGGTTTTTGAATGCAAAAGGCTTTAAACCAATTGAAATAGAAGTGAGAGACTGTCAATTTCCAATGAGACAGTCATAAATGAGCAAACCATGTGTGAAGATCGGCAGATCACTCTGGATGATATCTGCATTTTGGTTCATGGGGTTTTCTGAAGCACCATTCATACGATTTTAATGGAAAAGTTGCAATATCAGAAGATGGGTCCTGCAAATGCTTACAGAAGACCACCAACAGCAACAAGTTAACGCTTCCTGTGAATTTCTTCACTGCTATGCAGACGAAAAGGACAATTTTTCATCTGCACTTTCAGCAATGACGATGAGGTTCAACACTTCCTCAATGACATGGGCATGCAAAAAATGCCACAGCACCTACAAAAATGCATCAACCAAAATGGCAATTATGTAGAAAAATAGATAAATGTTCAAGCTTTAAAATGATGTAAACATTATTGAAAATAATCGTTTCTTTGTATTTCTAAAAAATAGGACACCTTACTTTTGGGATTACCCTTGTAATAATACTGTGTAAAATATGTATTTAAAAATTACCTTTGAATTACATAGAAATTTTCTAAAATAGAAAAAAAAATCTATTAAAGTTTGTTGGAAATTGCTTACAACAAAAAAAAATGCCTTTGAATTGAGTTGAAAAGTTAAAGAAAAAAAAATGAACTTAGATCAAACTTCTAACTTAGAAGATAATTTTCATTTTTTAAATAAAATAAAAGAAAATATTTTGTATATTTTTATAATAAGATTTTAAAGATGGACAATACTCCGATCACTCAATCTGATTCTTATTTTAGTAATGAAAAGTCCTGCTACCAAGAATGCCCTTTCTGATTCAATTGATGCGGGTGGAATCGCCTTTAATGCATTTAAGAGAAGAAGATGTTATGTGTTTTTCATCTGTAGCCATGAAGATTTCTAGTTCATTTTTGAGATGCATTGCAGTACTTCTTTTGCTGTCTAGTATTCTTGATTTGTCTACCTTGGCTGCTTTAATAGCAGGCATCAAGCTTATAGCCCAATAATTTGGCATTTCATTTGGCTTTAATAATCAGGTTTATGAAGAAAAACTTCATACTTGCATACTTCATACTCATTTGTATCCATGCCCAATTTGCACAACCTGGCATAATGCAGTTATTGAAGCTACTGGGCATGGTTAAAAATTAAGACAGTATTGGTGAAATTATTCAAGATTTTACTGGTTCTGATAAGTAATTTTCAGTCCTGCCACAAATAGGCTACATATTGATTATTAACAATCTGTGACATGCCATAACAAGCAAAACTTTAAAAAACTAATAAGCAGGCTTAAAATTAATAAGTATAAATGTGTTCTGACAGTTTATGAGTTAATTATACTTTCTATTTGCAAAATTTCCCCAAACTTAACACAAAATAAGAAAAAAGTGAACTTTTAAGAAATTTACGGGATTTTCCGAGTTAAAAAACAGCTGGAATCCTGTTAGAGAAACCCTAATAAAAATGTTTGTCAATCATTTTTATTTTCAACCATGAAATTTACATAAGTCTATTCTTCTTTCAAGATTATTGTAAGCTCAATATTAAAGAAAAATAGACAAAAAAAAATTTAATTTGTCAAATATAATTTATAGACTACAGCAAACATTCCTAGTTTAGAAATAGCATTGATAAGAAAAATATATGTATATATATAAATTTATGGTGCATTTTGTGAAGGCAGAAGCAATCAAAATTCAGATGATTGTATTTTTTTTCTCTAGAGTGAGAATGTTTTTTAAATAAAGTAGTAGTTAATAGTTCCAGTGCAAGTTTCAACCTCTTTTGTACACATTAAACAGGCCTAAGGCATTAAAATCTTGACTAGATATTTTTAAGGCACAGTTATAATTTAAATTTTATAATGGGCAAATAAAAATCCTTGATTTTATCAGCAGCAAGGATAAATAAGTTATTCATATTCTAATTTACAAATAAATTTTGTAGCCAGAAAATTATATACAATTTATAGTAACTGCTTGCATAAAGGACAATTGGAAGCACCCTTCAGACATAATCGCAAACAGTCACCATGGAACATGTGATTACATGGAGTGACACGAGCATATTTCATATTTTGCAGGCAAACAGCACAGACATCATTTCGTTCCTTCAATTCTTGGCGGGTTGCATAGCGATATTTGTCTAAACATGCCCGCTCCTTTAAAAGAACTTTCCAATGATAGTCCATATCGCAGAGAGTTAAAAATATATTGATATAACTAGCTCCAAGAATGAGAAACCATCCTCCATCTGTGAAAAACCATACCAAAGTTATCATTATTATGGATGCCAGAGAGGTAAATAAATGAAGAAGAACTGGAGTCCAGAGAACTTCTAGATTTTCTAAAACCTCAAACTGAAACCAAGTGAGGATGGATGGTACTTTTTCCAGGCATCTACGCTCTGTGACCATAAAATAAAGCACAGTGACGAACAAATAGGTCCAAGTTGGACTGAAATGTTCTAATCCTTGTTCCAAACCAAATACCAACAACATGAACACACCGGTAATCAGAAACGTGATAACTTTGGTCAAATCCAAGACGACTTTGGTGGCTGTCATGGCCAGATGCCGAATATTCGTATGTTCAGACACACGAACAATGGGTGAATAATCATGCAGACGCAACAATTTAAAGGCATAAGAAAATAAGTAGGACATGACATTGTAGAACATTAAAGAATATAATCCAGTAAGTTTGTTATCTGGACAAAACCAGCGATCGCACAGCATGAAGAACATGATCTGGTTGACCATGCTGGAAACCGTCTGATGGCGTTGACCTTCGTTTCTAGATTGTCGATTCATGTTTGTATTCGGCTCTTTTTCAGTGAGAGAATGTGACCATATCAGAAGAAATTATGTTTGTCATAACCTGGAAAAAAAACAATCTTATAAAACATCTTTAACTAATATAAATTGTATATGTAATTGTATAAAACTATATTAATATTTTCAGAAAAACAGAACATAATTTACCTTAAATTATAACTTTTTAAAATAAGTATACAATCCCAAACTATCAATCATTTCTAATTAAACGATCTAGATGGAGAACTTTTTCTAATCAGCCACATCCCATCCCACTCAGACACATCTCATAAGGCTGCATACTGATTTTGTGTGTTACATCAGTGTATATATTCAGTATACATAAATTTTACAAAAGATGGATACCTTTCCTTGTGGATGAATTGAAGTTTGTGTGCATGCACAGTATGCAAGCAATCATCTAACTTTGTAGCTCACAGAACTTTATGGAATGTTTAGTTTTGAATGCTATCAATTTCATAATGGCTTAATGTTGTGGCTTTTAAAATTAACTGATTTTGGGAAGGATGCATCACAGCTCTTCCATGCTACATTTAGCTATTTCAGATTATCCTAAGTGTAAGGAGCATGGTCTAAATCCAACATGTCCAAACCTGTGGCCCACTCAATGTTTTTGTGCAACCCTTTTAAAACAGTAATTATCTTGTATAGATTTTTATTACAACGAAATATCATATGTATAGTTAAATACACTGTTTTAATTTTTGAGTGTATACCTTATCATGTACACTCATAAATTAAAACAGTTAATAAATATATTTTAACAAAGCTTAAAATGTATGAATGAAAATGACCAGAATGTTCCTGAATTAAAAGTGATGGACAGTGGCTTTTGGATTTATGTTTCCTTAAAAATATCACAATGAAATTAAATGAACTTAATAAGCAGCTTCAAGGTGAAAACAAATTGATCACAGACTGTTATCTATATATATATAAATGGACGTGTGTGTCCCTATATTTCACTTTTCAACCAAAACTACACATCGCACATGAATGGTGTTTGTATGTGGTAGTAGCCCCAAGTCTCCATTCGTGCACTCTGGTGGCTGTGTCTCGATAGCTATAAGGGTGCAGGAGATATGGGCTTGAAAGTGGTTGAAAGTGGAAGATTTTCTATTTCAATTTTAAAAATTTTCGAATTTAAATTCGAATTGGTTCAATTATAGAACAATTGTAAACATTCCAGAAAATTGATCAAATGGAAAATAGTTCGTTTGACTGGACGTAAAAATTCTCTAATTAGTCTGGAAACGGGGG